CTATTATAAAGTTAATGATTATCTAAAAGATCGTAATGCATGGACATAGTGTTTCTTGTAATTTGTTATTTGATGGGTATTAGTCAGTTTTTGTAACAGTAATATGGTACCTATCTAATGCCGCTTCCTATATACTAAATATAAAATTATTATTGTAACTGTATATATCTATATGGTAAATGATGTAATGGAAGGTGACTTCAGAAGTATCTCTGAAGTCATTTTTCAACTTGGCGACTCTGTATATAGCAATACAGCGAGAAAAAAGCAGCCCTTGCTGAGTTTCGTGCCGGTTCTTCTCAGTACAAGGTCTCCCGCCGTAGTTTTGCGAACCGATGGCGTAGCTTCTGACTTTCACAAGTGCTTGTAACAGCCTAGACTAAATAAATTACTTTTCATTTCATTTCATCACTTATCTAGGTGTTTGATATATTATTGTGAAGGTAACAGAAAGAATGTAAATATAAACCATTAATAACTAAAGTATTTAAATTTTAATGTCATTGTTATATCGGGTACAAATTAAAAATAACCACCTTTCAATGTTCAATTCAAACATCGTCCCCTGAACAGTTCTAATAAAGTTTATTTTTTTTTGCTAACAAAATCACAGGCGCGTATCGCAAGTGGAGGAAACTCGCGGTCGCAGTAGTCCCAGGCGGTCCGAGATAGCGCGTGTCCGTGAGCGGTGTCGTGTGCGTTGCTCGATGGCATTTTGTATGAAGATTACCTTCTGTACTATCTGTTTTGTGTTAGAGCCTAGGGTAGTAAGTTATCAGTCATCTAACAGATAAGCAACTGCCCCTCTCACTGGATAGAAAGTTGATGCCATTTTTGAGTATGTTTAGTGTACTATTTTAAATGGTAGCAGATTACAATAGTTACTTCAAATACTACTCATTGTATTTTGTGAAGTGCAATCGGTAAAATTTCGAGTGTTACTTGAGTGTTAGTTAAGTGAAAAAAGCTTTAGCCAAGCCGGGAGTTTGTGCTTCGAGAATAGTGTTCCAAGGTGCCAACTATATTTTTTTTTTGTATTAGTCTACGATAACCTTAATGCCGTTAATTTGATACAGCGTCTTTTTGCACTACATTTTGTATTTTGCCCTGAACTTTACCGTTTCTTGTATCCTTAACTTCCTTGTTAGTTGAGATTTTAGAGTCCATGCCTTAAAAGCAAAAAACGAAACCCTAATAAGATCCCCTTGTTGTCTGTCTTTCAAGAGCCTTTATCTCGGGAACGCGTGGAGGTATTAAGTTGAAATTTAAACCATATTATACTCAAATTTACGGTACTTTGAAACTAGGAAAAAAAAATTGTGTGTGTCAGCTCCGACGCACGACCGGAGTTTACACTCTAAAAACGATTGTCTTTGAACAGACACAAAACAAAATCAAGTCCGAAGAAGTCGGTTTACAAGTAGAGATACCTCAGGAATCGTCCCATGGTTTCGACTATCATAGGTTCCATGTCACACATTTTATCATCTAACATCAGCGATATTCATCATATATTTTATTATGTATTTCTGGAAACACACAATTTCAAAAATATCACACCCTAGTCATCATTTTGTAAATATGTATTATAATTCCATGTGTACTGAAAATCACTATTCCAGAGTGCTGGACACTTCCCGGCATTTCTCTATAATCTGTAATTTATTTGTTTTCATTAATTTTGCTCCGATTTTATCTATTTTTAGTTTATTTATTTTATTGACATTTGTGACAACTTAATGTTTTTTATCCGTTGCCATGGCTAAAAGTGAAAGGTGCGCAGATGAGGTTGCGCACAAAAACGTAACGAGGTCATTAATATCATTCATCGATAGATTTTACTCCTCACATTTTCTCATACCGGGCCCCTTATATATGCAAATCGATTCTTAAGGAGTAAACTCCAAAAACAAACTAAATAGTTAACTTAAAAAAGATACGGCTGTGTATGTCACATACATATTGTCGCATATATTTGTAAGGAACCCTCGGGGGTTGGGGGGCGGGGGGGGGGGGGCGAGACCGACAGGCACTTGTCTGGTTATTTTTAATAATGTGAAGTAAATCACTTCTTTCCACCTAATGTTAATTGTGATGTGAGGGAATTTAACTTGACACATGGCTGATGCGGCAGAAAAAAATGTGCCACTGCAGCCATATCCACCTGGCTGGCCTAAACCTTATCCCATAGAGACCTGTAACTTAACTTACCAAATTGGAATATACTATAAAATGTCAGTCAATGACAGTCACGCGGATGTTAATTCGTATAGAGGCATAAAGGTATGACAACGTTATGGACAAAGTACTGGCATCCGCGTAACCGCGCGGGTGAACGGACGCCGCCATCGGGTGAGTCGCACACGGGACAAAGTACTGGCAGCCGCGTAACCGCGCGGGTGAACGGACGCCGCCATCGGGCGAGTCGCACACGGGACAAAGTACTGGCAGCCGCGTAACCGCGCGGGTGAACGGACGCCGCCATCGGGCGAGTCGCACACGGGACAAAGTACTGGCAGCCGCGTAACCGCGCGGGTGAACGGACGCCGCTATCGGGCGAGTCGCACACGGGACAAAGTACTGGCATCCGCGTAACTGCGCGGGTGAACGGACGCCGCCATCGGGCGAGTCGCACACGGGACAAAGTACTGGCAGCCGCGTAACCGCGCGGGTGAACGGACGCCGCCATCGGGCGAGTCGCACACGGGACAAAGTACTGGCAGCCGCGTAACCGCGCGGGTGAACGGACGCCGCCATCGGGCGAGTCGCACACGGGACAAAGTACTGGCATCAGCGTAACCGCGCGGGTGAACGGACGCCGCCATCGGGCGAGTCGCACACGGGGCAAAGTACTGGCAGCCGCGTAACCGCACGGGTGAAGGACGCCGCCATCGGGCGAGTCGCACACGGGACTAAGTACTAGCATCCGCGTAACCGCGCGGGTGAACGGACGCCGCAATCGGGCGAGCCGCAATCGGGCGAGTCGCACACGGGGCAAATTACTGGCAGCCGCGTAACCGCACGGGTGAAGGACGCCGCCATCGGGCGAGTCGCACACGGGACTAAGTACTAGCATCCGCGTAACCGCGCGGGTGAACGGACGCCGCCATCAAGCAAATCGTACACGGGACAAAGTACTGGCATCCGCGTAACCGCGCGGGTGAACGGACGCCGCCATCGGGCGAGTCGCACACGGGACAAAGTACTGGCAGCCGCGTAACAGCGCGGGTGAACGGACGCCGCCATCGGGCGAGTCGCACACGGGACAAAGTACTGGCAGCCGCGTAACCGCGCGGGTGAACGGACGCCGCCATCGGGCGAGTCGCACACGGGACAAAGTACTGGCAGCCGCGTAACCGCGCGGGTGAACGGACGCCGCCATCGGGCGAGTCGCAGACGGGGCAAAGTACTGGCAGCCGCGTAACCGCACGGGTGAACGGACGCCGCCATCGGGCGAGTCGCAGACGGGGCAAAGTACTGGCAGCCGCGTAACCGCGCGGGTGAACGGACGCCGCCATCGGGCGAGTCGCAGACGGGGCAAAGTACTGGCAGCCGCGTAATCTTATATTTCTTTGTGTCGTCAACAGAAGCATGATGAGGGTGAGTAAAGTTCCAGTGTTCCATGTGGTAGGGTCTGATCATCAATTAGGGTTCACGCCAGCAAGGTTTGGCTGCTACGGCACTTAATAATAATCTTTATCAGCTATCTTCCTTTCACATTCCTCTGTTCACGCCACAGAACACAGAAAGGGGTTAGAAGAGCAGGCACGCCACAGTCCACAAATACTTATAACGTGACCAAAACTTGGTTCTGATTGTGTCGTTGCCCTCGGTGTGAGTGCTGATTGGTTCGTTTGATGTCGCGTCGTCCGATTGGCTATTGTCTATTCTTAGTCTTAGTGGAACAGCGGGCTGTTTCCGCAACTCGACACCCAGTGCCTATTTTGCGTGAGGATGGCATCAGTCCTGCCATCCCAGCTCCTCCAGAAAGCTCAGCAGTCCCCGGATGTTGCTGCCGGCTTCTACTAGTGTCCGCGGGCTTCCCATTAGAGAAGTCCTTTGTCTTGAAGTCCTCTGCATACCAGCAGAACATGGGCGCTCGTCTCCTCCTCCTCCAAGCAGGCTCTGCACAGAGGGCTGTCAGAAATACCTATATTATAAAGGTGTTTGTTGAAGTAGCCGTGACCCGTGAGTATACCCACGATTTGTTTCAGGGCTTGTCTAGGTAGTCGGATTAACTTACGTGATAGCTGCTGGTTTACCTTAGGAACGGCTTCCCTAGTCAGTGTGTTTTGCCCAATATTCATCGTGGTGTCGTTGACAGCGCTCCCTTATCCAGGTTCTCAGCTGTCGATAAGGTAGCTATTTATTATTAGATGAAAGTGTAGTGGTCGCCTTAACATCGGTCTATGGTCTAGCCCTTCTAACTTATTTCTGTGTTCTGTGGTTTGCGCTAAGCAAAAATAATTCTTTCAAACACCAATGTCGAGATTAGGGGTGATATCGGAGTAAACGAGTCCGTAAGTCAGATCAGCAAAAAATAATGGCCATAATGATATTATTTCTTTTTTCAATCGGACAAAAAATTAATAAGACAAAACTGCGTCAAAGTTTGCGAGCGGGGGCTTGTGACGTCACTTATAAGTGAAAATTGTACCAATACGTGAAGTCACGCGATATTTCAAATGGTAGACATTTACATTTTTTTAGGGATGATGATGAACATCATCCATCACCTTCAAAATCATCTTCTTCATTCAATTCATCAAGCATTTTTATTACAAAGTAAACTAGAATAATAACACGATGCTCTTCAAGATTTCTGGCGCCAAATACCTACAGCAATAAATAAACAAAAAACATCAGATAACAATTTAAATCTAAATAACCACAATTTTAAATCGCTATCACTTAGGTAATTGCAAGCATGATAATATTGCTAATATAATTCGATTACAACGATATATAAAAGAGAAATGTTCATCAGATCCTCATATTCCTGTAGGCAAGGCTAATCATGAGGATCTCAGGAGTCCTGGTGGTAGCTGTGGCAGCATTGCTAGCTGTGACAACATTGGTTACTGCTAAACCAGACCCTGTAATAAAGGGAACAGAACTCGTCTTAACATTTTTGGTAAGTTACAACAGAAAATGGTGATCATTGTATTGTTAAATGTATAGTTTTTTTACCCGACTGCGCAATGCAAGAGCGCGAAACGCGACGCTGTCTATAATTCTGTTAATAAGGAACAAAGCTACTTTAACAGCCGGGACCCATTAGAAATTCAAGAATACATAATATTTTTCAATAATGGGTCCCGACTGTTAAAGTAGCTTTGTTCCTTATTAACAGAATTATAGACTACTGGACTTGTTTTTTTCTTTTCAGTTTTTATTTGAAGTATAATTAAGCAGTCGGGTTTTTTGATTTGTTGATATGTTTTTTTGATTGTGTAGGGTAAATCAAGCGCTGAATTCAAAAACAAACTACCAAATATAATTCTATTCTTACTCATTTGTTCTTCTCATCTTCTGACAGAACCACTATTGAGACATGATCTTTACGTTAGCTTAGTAGAATCAACAGCCTCTTAATCCAAAAAAGACGCAATAAACTGATACTAGAATTACATCAATATAACGTAGATAACTTTCAGGACATGTAAAAATGACCTTCACAATGAAGGAAAAATATGCAATCGTTTTAAGATATTACACTTTTCAACTAGCATTGTATTTAAATGGTTCAACACGCACAAATTACTAAAGATTTTCGTTTCACGGGAGTTTACAGATATGTTTAATAAACATTTTTATAAAATAAGCAATTTTATAAAATGTATTAAAAGAATGATTCTTGGACAAATTTTCAATAGTAGAGACTTTAATTAAATTGAAACATAAAATACATAATTTCTTGTTAATGATATAACTACTTATATAATGCGATTCAACTAAGAATAGGACCGACTGGGTGCCATATTGTGATGTCATAGCTGTCAATTCAAACCAAATAGGTACAATTCAAACCAATAGAGTGAGCAAAAAAAAGTTTTTATTTAATAAAACTTATTAACTAAGATTAAGTGAGAAAAAGCATCAGATTTTTTAATAACATTTATATATTAAGATTGAGAAAAAAAACATCGCTTTTTAATAATATTTATTTATTAAGACTGTGAGAAAACTTCCGCCCATCTCTGCAATACCGCCGGAGTAGTTATGAACAATCATGCAATATTACTAGGTCACATACGAAATTACGAACATGCATCCTTTACGTAAACGAAAGTTTGAAATCGAGTTTCTGAACGCAACTTAAAGTGACATTTGGTTGACGATTTAGGTTATCAACCATTCATAACCAAAGCTCAATAAGTGAAAAAAAATATCAACCGATATTAATTATCAATATTTGTTATTGTTTGTTTACAAATGTTTTGTTTTTATTCTTGAATTAGCGGAGTGCTAAAAAATGGGTTCAAGTTTTTTTTTGCAAACCGTAGTTTTCAAGCGACATTTGACAGATCGAGGTCATTGGCTTTCCTATTCTTATTTTTGAATCGCATTATATAATGAAACATTGTCCATTTTACTAAATTATTTAAATAATAAAAGAATTTAGCTGCAAGCGAAATTTATCCCAGGGCTGGGTAGTCATGTAAAAGCAATGTTTGTCTACCAAACATTTACTTCATACATCCTTTTGGAGAAAATATCGTCTGCTTACTGCGAAAACCAAATAAATGCCCTTTTTTACGAAATTGAGTTATGAACACAGTTATACGTAACTTGTTGTGCTCTTTCTACTGGTAAAATCGGATAAATGATAAGTCATACGGTTGCAAAGATAGCTAGATAGCTAGTATGAAAACCTTATAAGTACACACATTTTGGAAAAAATGTACAGGAAAAACATTATGAAAAATCAAAATGCATACGTTTCTTTGTTATTTTAATTCTTATTATTCCTAGCTATTGTAGCTACTTGAATTCTTTAAAATTATATATTTTATAGGTTGTTTTATTTATTAACCTCATGGTAAAATGAAAACAAAGAAAGTCCTTCACATCTTAACCAAATTTGTGTATCATTTTGTATGGTGAAAAGCTGCATAAGAGAAAAAAAATAACTAATTCTCTTGAAGCAAAAACTGATAAATGACCAAATAATGGCATTTATAGCTGTATGTCTAGCTTTACACAGTGTTAAAATACTAAAGTTACTCTTAAATACAAAACACGACAGCATTAAGTTGAAATTAGATAATTAAGATGGTAAATTCCGAAGATACAATACATTCCCTAATTTCAGGCAAAACCTGATAAATGCACACCGTCCTTTGTTAAAATTCAATTTACAACAGTTTTTACTATTACAGCACACAAAATTAAGGTCATATCTATAAAGAACGGCATTTGTTTCAACTTTTTTCAACAAAGATCAGCCTGTGAAAGAATATTATATATTACTTTAAGAGGAGCCCAAATGTTTACAATAGACTTAGAATGCCACATTCTGCACTTATTCGGTTTTCGCAGTAGGCAGACGATATATAAAAAATCTCACCCAAAACCTAGAAGGTGCATAAAAGGTTGCTTTAAATATAATGTCAATTTCAGGTGCATCGCCATGGTGACAGGACTCCAGTTGAATCCACAATACCTTTCAGCAATAATCCAACAGAGCTGCGTGAACTATCAGCACCGTACGGTTTGGGACAACTTACTAATGTAAGTTACATACAAACTAGGTACACTCAGTTTTGTTATAAGGAAATCGATTTAATTTCGATCAAAAAAGTCTTACCTTACTACTTTTTCACGACATACTTGCTTTGAAGAGACAGAACTCTGTGACATACAGACAGTCAGAACCATGTGACATACAGAGAGAAAGAAAAATCATATTCATAACTAGCGGCCGCCCGCGACTTCATCCGCGTCAACATTTAGTTTTTTTTTCTAAAATAAAAGTAGCCTAAGTTTCTTCTTATTACATCAGCTACCTGCCAATAAAAGTTCCGTCAAAATCGGTACAGCCATTTCAGAGATTAGCCGGAACAAACGGACAGACAACAAATTGTAGAAAATATTATGTTGGTGTATGTACGTATGTAGTAAAAAGCGTTTTTTTTTTCAATATTACAAACCGATACTCCAAATCTATTTATATGTAGAGATTTTAAAAAAAACATAAATGTATAGATTTGTCATTCTTAGGATAAGGAACCCAAACTGGGATTAATACAGCATTACTATGAATACAGAGTCATTAAAATCTAGTGTTACAATGGGCGGCCTTATCGCTAAGAGTGATTTCTTCCAAACAACCTTTGGATGAAGAGGAATAGAAGGAAGTGGGAGGGTCGGCGTCGTAAATCTCAAGTTTAATTTATTAATAGTTATATACATACATAAATACACATACATTTTTATTTATACATAAAAACCATTACGTGATTCCCAAAGTGGTCTATATCGACCCCTAGGGGTCTATGACGACCTGCAAGGGGTCTACGTCAGCGAAAAAAAAATTTGGGGGTTCATGAAATGAAAATGGGGGTCCACGATAATGGATCTCAACATACACTGATAGTACTTATATACTTACATTATGCTATCTTCTATTAAAAAGAAATATACATTATTTATAAAAGTACCTATGAAATAATAAAAAATATTATATATGTTTATAAAATTTTGTAAGATGTAGGCATTCGCTGTGTGGTCGCAATACATTTTGAAGGTGTATAAACCTGCTCATAATAATAAACCAGTATCATCTTGTTACACTAACCTCCCTCAATCACAAAATATCAATATCAGGTAAGTAGGGGTCTACCCAAAACCTAAAAACATGCAAAGGGTCTACGACACAAAAAAGTATGGGAACCTCTGATATTGACCATACATCGAATACACACACAAATCTATAGTCGTGGCACAATATGATAGCCGTTTTGACACAGTGAAGCGAGAAGTCAACCTGTTATCGAAAAAAAATCCTATATGATCAAATAGGGGTCACATTTAGGTATTAAAACTTTTGAGTTTTTTTTACCAATATTGCAAAAAGTTGTTGATTATAAAGATCGAATAAAACGAAAACATACATTTTTACTTATTAGCTTCAAAAAAAGTCTTCCCAAACCATTCCCCCAAACAAGGGCGGATCCTGTTTTGGCGCCAGGGGAGGGGGGGTCATATAATCGTGGTCAAGTCACAGAGGGTACAGATTGTGAAATACAGATTATGAAGTGGGTACAGATGGACCCAGCCCAGGGGGGGGTCACGACCCCCATAACCGCTCCCCTGGATCCACCCTTGCCACCAAAATGACGCTGATGAATGACTTTGGCGTTCAATTTGAGGGGACGAATTTTATAGGACAAGAAAACTGAGTTCAAGAATGAAATAAAATACTTTTTTTTTATTGTTTTTAACTTGTGCAATTTCAAACGACTTATAGTTGTATACTAGTATCATCATCATCATCAGCCTATTAATGACTCCACTGCTGGGGCACAGGCCTTCCCTATGGGTGGAATAGGGAGATTGGGCCATGACCCACCACGCGGGCCCAGTGCGGATTGGTGGGTGCTAACGACTGCAGATGCAACCGGGACCAACGGTTTAACGTACCTTCCGAAGCACGGAGGGGCTCGAGATAGTAAATTTTTGGTCACCCATCCAATGACCGACCACTGCGAAAATTGCTTAACTTCAACGATCGCAGCCAAACGCGCTAACCAGTTGCGCCATCGAGCTCCTCATACTAGTATACTACGATATATTATACTAATATTATCATGGTCAAAAGAATTTTTCGCACGTTATAGTCTATGCATTATAAGTGTCGTGGAATCGTAGATCGTAATATTTTATTTGTTCAAGATAACAGATAATGATGTAATACATTGCAAATTATCCACGTAAATATGCAAACTATTTATACCACTGAAATGTATGATGGCATTAAACTGTCTCTGTGCGACTTTGTTGGTTTCTTGCAGTTCTGTTTGATTATCTTATCAAATAAAGTAGTCAGGATTTTATCACAGCGGGCTGTTACAAGGGGTTAGTGTTATATAGCCCTTTCCAACATCTTGGAGTGAGGTTCCTGGTTTCACGTCCACAAGCCCAGATAATACATCCTTAACGCTGCCATATTTGCCTCAGGAGGCACTTGATCTGTTCATACCTCCTGAGGTCTACTATTTTTTATTCACTAACATTTAATGAATTACCTATATCTGTATTTATGTTAGACTATAAGGTATTTATCTATGGGCCTACGTAGCCTGATTATAAATAAATAAATATTTTTTTAGTCTTTACTAACATACTTATATAGTAATGGACTAATGTACCCGCCTTTCGTAACTCCTGGATCAAACCTTCGTTGGACACCCGTGTTTCTTACAGTTCCATTTGATATTTCTTATCAAATAAATAAGTAGTCAGGATTTTATCACAGCGGGCTGTTACAAGGGGTTAGTATTATATAGCCCTTTCCAACATCTTGGAACATAAAGAGTTATTCTATTAGATCATGAATAAACTGTTCTAAAATAATCAAAGTCTAGTATACCTTTATTCGTTCAAATACATGTCACGCGGCGGCCATAGTTTCAATCTCGCGGCGAAACTATGACAATTTATTTAGTGGAATACGCGGTAATCGTCTTGCGATTGGTCCAAAAGATCGCTTGTTGATCGGCAGTGTTCGGACGGAAAGGTAGTATCTGTAGATTTCACGCCAAAAATTTTACACCTTAAGTGGTTGATGAGTGGTCTGATTATGGATGTGCAAAACTATTTGATGATTTTTTGAGCAAAACCCCAGGGTTTTACCGATCAGTTGTTTGCACTGCCAAAAATCTGATACAGGCTTTGTTTTTCTTATGGTCTGGATGACTGTGCCATGTTAGCGCGTATAATCTAAAAATATGCCTAGATGTTTGGTCTCATTAGAGAGTGACAGTTTGGTGTTAAATAGCTTGGGAATTTTACAGCATCCAAGTTACGTTACTTCGTAAACATGACCATATTTGTTTTTGTCGGATTCACCGATAATTGGTGTTTTATACACCAGTTTCCAACTGACTTGAGAGCGTTACTCATTAAGTTCTATAGCACATTCTGGAATGGTGCGCTTATGAGAATCGCCCGCATAGTCTTCTGAGTGGTAGTTGCGTAGATTGAGTTTGTAAATACCTAACGTTAGGTACCTAATGTTTCTGATGCGCGGCCATTCGGAGACGGGTGACCACACCCGCCCTCTCGGCACGCACTAGGGGGACCGCGATCCTCATAGTGCGTGTCGGGTGACAGTGCAGGAGTATTGTCTGGTTTTTAGTGTCCCTGTTCAGGGCGTAGGTAGGGCCCTGTTCACATCCGCGAGCTCCAGGGCTGGCTGAAGAGGACAGGGAAGAGTCCCACATACCTTCTTCTCGCTCCCCCAGTAGTTGAACGATGCTTAAGGCGTTTTCCAGACACAAAAAAAATAAAAAAAATAAAAAGGTACCTAATGTCTAATACCTAAAGCCCTTATCAATATTTCTGTGATTTGTTATTTATTCCCACAGGTTGGTAAACAGAGAGCATACAAATTGGGCGAATACATTCGCTCGCGCTACGAGGAGTTGTTGAGACCACAATACAATAGAAGCGAAGTGTTCATACGGTCCACAGATTCTACTCGCGCCAAAATGACAGCTCTAGCGTCACTGGCTGCTGTATACCCGCCTGGCGAGAGCTCTTGGAGTCAACAGCTTCGTTGGACACCCGTGCCATACACTACTGTACCTGTCAAATACGATTTTGTAAGTATTTTTTAGTAAGCTGTTGACAATCATGGATATAGAGAATGGACTGATTTACCAGCCCTGCGAAACCCCCTGGAGTCAACACGTTCGTTGAACACCCGTGCCTTGTACTACAGTCTCTGTCAAATACGAGTATGTAGGTATTTTTTAGGCTTTACTTACATACTTATATAGTAATGGACTAATGTACCCGCCTTGCGTAACTCCCGTGTTTCACACTACAGCCCCTGTTATATACGATTTTGTAAGTGTTTTTTTTTGTAAGCTGCTTGACAATCATGGATACAAAGAATGAACTGATGTACCCGCCCTGCAAGAACTCTTGGAGTCAACCCCTTCGTTGGACACTCGTGTCTTACACTACAGTTTATCTCAAAATACGAACTTGTAGGTATTTTTCAGTGCAATCACTTTGCCTTTGTTCCATAATGTAATTAAATGAAATGAACAAATTTCTTTTTCTCTCTCCGTCCAAGATTAACAAAAATCACTCGAAACACATTCCCTTCAGTTAAAGGCTAAAGAAAAGCTTAAAATCATTATGAGATTGATGAAAGACTTGCATAAAGTTTTTAAACCTCAATTCCTTATACTTTCAGTTTTAAGCCTTAAGTGCTTCATTTATAACAACACTTCAATGTTTAGTAGTAAAAAAAACTTTATACCTTAATTCCTCCAACATAAGATTATCTTTAAATATGCATTTCTCTTCCAGAACACAGCTTTTGCGAACTGTCCTGTATTCATGGAAATGTATACGGGATATTTCACAAAACCATACCCTTCCATGGACAAGTACAAGGAAGTTCTTACGATGCTATCGTCACACGTCGGGATCGACCTCAACACGTACTTTGGTCGCCTTATGCTCGTTTACGATGTTTTTGTCAGTCAGGTAAAAAATCACATTGTTAACTGTCATCATTATCATCAGCCTATTAATGTCCTCACTGCTAGGGCACAGGCCTGTCCTATGGATGGCATAGGGAGATTGGGCCATAACTCACCACGCGGGCCCAGTGCGCATTGGCGGGTGCTAACGACTGCAGATGCAGCCGGGACCAACGGCTTAAAATGCCTTCCGAAGTACGGAGGAACTCGAGATAGAAGATTTTTGGTAACCCATCCAATGACCGACCACTGCGAAAGTTGCTCAACTTCAACGATCGCAGCCGAACGCGCTAACCACCTGCGCCATCGAGCTCTTAGCTGTACCATATGTTAAACAATAAGACAACATAAGACCACAGAATTGTACAATAAACAAGATAGTTAAACATTTTTCAAGCCAATGAGAGGTACAGGAAAATTTATTTCACCATTTGGCGCCACTGTCACATGAGGTCTTACTCGTATGTAATTTTTGGCGCGAACATAAATTAGAAATCTGAAATATTTCAAGCATCAGTGGATACATTATAAACACTTTAAGTTATAGCTGCAACAACCTCTTAGTCCGCTATGCACGATCATCCAGAATATACTAGAATGATCGCCAAGCGTGAGGACGCCTGTTTGTATTGGGTGATTGTGATTCAGAGTGAGCATTTAATGGTGCCATGTTGTTTGTTACAAACTCCAAACACGTCAAAAAAACGCCGATATCAAACACCTAAATAATAAGTGCAAACACCCAACACAAGCAGGCTTGGCGAGCATGTAATGGTGCCTCCACACGCTTAGTGTTCGTAACAAACACCAAGCAAACCAAACACTTGTGTTGGCTGTTTGCTATCTGTTCGCCAAGCGTGTGCAGATCTTAAGATACAAGTTTTGAAGTATTCTTGACACGCGACAAGCATACAAAACCTGGCTTGTTTTATGTGACGCTTTATCTAAGCGTGTATATAAATCAAAGGTTAAAATTTATTTTTTTCTTGATTTAATAAAATGTCTAGTCTAAATTTTAATAACATTTAATTTACAGTTAAGTATGGGTCTACCGCTAGATCCGGAAATCCAGAAGCAATTTTCATTAATACAAGAAGCTGCTGGAAAATCTTTTGACTTGATATTCGGAAATGAATCTTATATAGACTTACAAGCTGGTGAGTTTGTCATCGTAACCTTACTACTTATAAAAGTACTTTAAATGTTAAGCTAAATATTGTTGTGTACATACAATGTTCTGAGGAATTGTTCGGATTAATTCAAGCTGCTGCATTTCGCCATCGTACATCGCGACAAAAATTTCATCCCCATCATCTTGATGCGTGGCTATCCACAACCGTACGTTTTTGTCGAAATTTTTTACCACGAACGACAAAACTGTGGAATATATTGTCGCCAGCAGTGTTTCCGGACCAATACGACCCAAAACCTTCAAAAAAAGAGCGTACTCCTTCCTTAAAGGTTGGCATTGCATTTGTGATACTCCTGGTGTTGCAAGTGTCCATGGGCGACGGTGATCACTTACCATCAGGTGAGCCGTCTGCTCGTATGGCACCTATAACATAAAAAAAAAAAAAACGATAGCGCTGCCTTCATCATCAACCTATTAATAGCCCCACTGCTGGGGCATTCTTCTGAGGCCTTCCATATAAATGGGGAGATAGTCCAGTCATTTTAGGTTTTATCTGCGGAAAAAATCCTACAGAGCTGAATTTTTATGTACACCTTTATTACGGATTTTCAATGATGATGTGAAAAACCGACATTGATATCGTGCCGCCTAAATAAGTTGAGGAGCTCGATGGCGCAAGAGGATAGCGCGTTCGGCTGCGATCGTTGAAGTTAAGCAACTTTCGCAGTGGTCGGTTATTGGATGGGTGACCAAAAATTACTATCTTGAGCTCCTCCGTGCTTCTGAAGGCACGTTAAGCCGTTGGTCCCGGCTGCATCTGCAGTCGTTAGCACCCACCAATCCGCACTGGGCCCGCGTGGTGGGTCATGGCCCAATCTCAGCAGTGGGGACATTAATAGGCTGATGATGATGATGATGAAATAAGTTATAAGGGTCAAAAGGTCATGAAATTAATTCCTGAAGTAATTATAATAATAGTATTTAATAATGGAAATGCTAATGCTTACTTTTGGGAGTAAATTAATTGGTGTGTTGGGAATATTTCCTTTTTTGACAAACATGCATATGGCCCGCATGATGGCCCGCTACAGACGCTTTCAATACCGAAGCCATCACCAGCACCTTACCTACCCTGACCCAATCCCGTACCCTGTGGAGCCCTAGAACCTTAGTCACCAACAGAAACACAGTGTCACGGTTTATTTAGGATTGCACTAAATAAAACGGATATGCTGTACTTCCAGGGCCCAAAAGTAAAAACTTCACAGTTTTGTTGGTTGTAATTTCGCATTTTTGTTGTTAAAAAGGTTTCTGTTAACCACATTATTAAAAAAAATGTCACACTTATGCACTGGTAGTTTTTTAGAAAAAAAATATTGAATTTTTTTACTTTTCTTATCAAGTGGTGATACTTCACACTAGGTTAGGTTAGGTTAGTGTTGTGACCATAACGCGCGAGCCGAGCGAGCAAAGCGAGCGTGCCGCGGCAGCGGCCAGCGAAGCGCCAGATAAAAAAATCTGTTAGAAAGACCTTTTCTACAAAAAAAACAAGTATCACCTTTTGGGCCCTGGAAGAACAGTTTTACCAATAAAACGACAAATTAAGATTACTATACAATATACTACAAGAAAATAAGTTATTTATACAAAGACTAGGGTCGTAGGTAGGTTGGAGGTTGGAGCCAGAGAATTCACCGGAGCGGCACTCCCCTGTTAGGTGCAGCGTCTAGGCACGGTAATATTATCTATACAGTATTGTGACTCCGCCCTATCCTTGAAAATAAATGCCTACGACCGAGCGCTGCGTTGGCACGCGGTAGGGCCGCCAGCCTACAGTATTTTATGTAGTTGTGTTTTTAACGCGAGTGTAGGTAGATTACTCGTTTGTCTCTTTTTTCATCCTAACCACTTATTTATATATTATTCCAGATATTTTGCCCGATGGAAAAACCGAAATACCTAAATATTAGAAACAAATTACGTACTAGTAGATAGGTATATAAAAAATATTCTATAAAGCTAGGACACCTTTCCAATATTTCAGGTAATTTACAAAAATGATATCTCTGGGTGTGTTATTGAAGAGTTCAAGCAACTAAAAACAGCAATTGTGCTGTTGTACGATATTGATCGTCGTTTGTTCTTTTCCATACTAAACTATGTAGGTATCTACTTAATTAAATCAAATATTTACAATACAAAACGCACGTTTAAGCACGGCTAACTGCATAAAAAACAATTCAGACCGTTCGGTCGTCGTTGCGGCGCGGCGCGGCGGCGCATTCGCGACTGGGTGCCCGCCGAGAGCACATCGAACTCGAGTGGCGTAGGTATGACTCGCTTTCCGACCGTTTGTATGAAGATAGAATACTGTATGATATTATTACCGTGGTCTAGGTCCCCGCTACAAGGCTACGTTCCCGAACTCGTCGCGACAGTCTGATCTTCGTCGACCTCCGTCAGCCCTCAACTAGTGGTTTTCACGGATCAAGACACCCGTACGTAGTTCCCAGTATGGGATGCACCAGCACTTATTATTATGAAAATCAAAACTTCACAATAAAAGATAAATAAAAACGTTAGAAATTGCAACAAGCAAGAATGACTTGCAACTCAATTTTTAGCTTCACAGCCGTTCGCAATAGTTCGTATCAACAATTTTCTCGACGCGAGCTCCCCCCCCGGGCGCATTCCTTCCGCGAACGCCTTCTGCGGGGTCTTGTTTACAAAGCACGCTTTGACGCAACGCGTTAGATTAAATATACAGTGTTCGAACATTTACAAAGCAATTAACGAACGTTACAACAGCACCACCGTGAAAAACCGACATTGATATCGTGCCGCCTAAATAAGTTGAGGAGCTCGATGGCGCAAGAGGATAGCGCGTTCGGCTGCGATCGTTGAAGTTAAGCAACTTCCGCAGTGGTCGGTTATTGGATGGGTGATAGGTAGTGACATTTCACGACGAGTTCTGTCACGTATTTCATAAAGTCCTCTTTGCAGGTGTCCTTCTCAGCGAGTTCTTCAAGAAAGCGGGCGCAGTAATAGCCGGCAATGATACCCAGAGGCTCAGAATCTACTCCGGTCACGACTTCAACGTGTACTCCTTCGAAGCTGTCACCCAAATAAGCAACAGGCAAGGAGTACCCAAATACGCTTCAGCATACGCGCTGGAATTGAGGAAAGTTGTGAAAAGTGGAAAATATGTGGTCCTTGTAAGTTTATCTATATATATTTGTTTTTTAGGTTTTCACGCACATCACCCATTAAATAAAACTAGTTTTTACGGGTTAATGCACGAAACTTTATTTATTTCAAGACCATCAGATACTATTAGTTCTTTTTGTTTGCATAATTTAACATAAGAAGGAGATAGAAAGCCTCTCTTGAGTTTGTTTCGCCGTTTCTTCTCAGAAAGGTCTCCCAATTTTGGAACCGGTAGTAGTTTACGGTAGTTAGGGTCAAATAAATAAACTCAAAATTACAAAAAAGAATTTTAAATAAAATACTTTATTAAGTAAATTAAATAATAAATTCATACATAGACAATAAAACTTAAAAATCGAACAATGAAATAAACAAACGCTCAATAAAAGTCTTTCGAAGGTAGCTCGACAAATTAAATAAAAGTTTTATTCTGACGACGAAGCCTGTAAAGGCTACGAAACGTCAATAAATAAATAAAGTTTCGTGCATTAACCCGTAAAAACTAGTTTTATTTACCTATATATATTTTTGTTGTGTGAATTTTTTAACGTCAGCTTTCGGCTGTTCCCACTGATGCAGAGTTTTCGATAGTTCTGTGTATAGACTCAGCACACACCACGCGGCGAAATTATTTTTTATCTCTACTCCATTAATGTCAAAAGTAAAGCCACCTACGTCCAGAGAACGTCTTCTATATTGCGGGTAGCCATCATCCCCGGTTTACGTTCACTAAGTAGAGACCTGGGATACCTCTTAGAGCAATTTATATTTTTCATACAAGAAGAGTTTAAAACTTCTAAAACTCTAATTATATTTTGTTTTTCACAGCCGGTTTATTTGCCCGAACCTGGAGCTCCAGTGAAATACCTTCAGATCAAGGGATGCTCACAGCTCTGCGACTTAAACAAATTTCGTAAGATCACCGCCCAATATGTTCTGGATGAGGACACTTGGAGGACAAAATGCGGTTTCAACAAAGACATGGAGATAGATGAATCTGGCATCTAGTTTGTTTTTTTTAATTTGAGGTCAAACTGTAATAATAAAGATCTATTTATTAAAAATGAAGCTGTTTCCCTTAATGACGTACTACTTGACGTACGAGTTTAGCAATTTCATCATTTTTTTTAAGTTTTCTAATACTTTAGTGCTCATCGCATCGCAAATATCTGCGAGGTCGCATGAATGCTTCCGAACTGTTCGCAACGCGCATTTCTGAAATATTACGTCACACTTGGTGACACCATTATTTTAGTCCACTCTGGGACTTCCCTTCTACGACCAGATCTACTTTGTGGATATGGTGATATTAAACCCAAAAGTTCTTCGAATGAAGATATGCTCATTATAAATAATAAAAAAAAACTTTAGTTCTCAAACCATAGTATATTCGAATAAAATAGTTCCCATCAGCGTTCATAATCGTAATAAATGGATGAACCCAAAATCTTCCTTTTCTTCTATATCTATTTAACAATACCAGCAGTGCAACAATCTTTTTGCGATCCATATCACCTATACTAAAACACGTACAATACGGCTGACTACTCTTGAAGGTATGGGCACCCTTTTAAACTCAAACTCATTTATTCAGTCTAGGCTGTTACAAGCTCTTGTGAAAGTCAAACGCTACGCCATCGGTTCGTAAATCTACGGCGGCAGACCTTGTACTGAGAAGAACCGGCAAGAAACTCAGCAAGGGCTATTTTTTTCTCCCTGTCTTTTTGTATTTTTGTCTGTCCTGTATTTTTGTCTCCCTGCCTCTTTTTTTTGTCGATGGGAAATCCATTTACGGCGGAAGTGTGGGACTCCCTGGCGCGGAACAACGCCGGTTCTACCCACTAAAACCCACCGGTACCCTCCTACGCCCATGTGGGAGCGTTTCAAGATCGGTATGGGCACCCTAACCAAAGCTTTTTAAGCAAACCTGGTCCACAGGTTCAAAGTCGGTCAGCGCGCTATGGAAAGGGCTATGCTCGGCGTTTCTATGAAGGATCGCATCAGAAATGAGGTAATCCGACAGAGAACCAGAGTCATCGACATAGCCCACCGGATTAAGTTGAAGTGGCAGTGGGCTATCCATATTTGCCGAAGAACCGATAATCGTTGGGGTAGACGAGTTCTGGAGTGGAGACCGCGTCTAGGCAAACGTAGTGTAGGACGTCCTCAGGCGCGATGGAGTGACGATTTGCGCAAGGTGGCTGGCAGGAGCTGGATGCGAGTAGCCCAAGATCGATCTAAGTGGCGTGCAATTGGAGAGGCCTATGTCCAGCAGTGGACTAGGATAGGCAGTTGATGAACCAAAGCTTTGACGCACGAATTCGCATCGCAGCAATTCGATTCGCAAGTTCCTGCGATGCGACGTCGCACCGCAGCGAAGTTTTGTGTGGGAGCCCTTATAGATCTTAAAGCCCGCTTTTCTCCATCAAAGAGGAATGGACTAGGGTTGTCTAGCGGAGCAGTCTTCGTGTACATATAGGGTAATGGCACCAGTGGTCAGCCTCATAACGGCTTTTTAAAGTTTGGAAAGCTGGCATTTTTACTGGATTCGTCGGATAATGAAACGTAGTACACGATTGGATCAATCGTTTATTATAGTTTTTAAACAACATATGTTAAAAACAATCTTTCTCTTTATAAAATATATATTTAAATACACCTAAAAAATGGCACCTTTGCCCAGTGGTCAGCCTCTAAAATCCAATAATCAGCCTCGATGAACCCAGTATTCAGCACTATTCATAAGCATGAGATCAAAATGAGCATTATTTATATCAAAATCAATAGATAATAATAGATAAATAAAGATATTATTTAGTTCTCTCTTATTATTTATAGCTAAATTATCAAAACAAAAAAAACACCTGACTGAAATATTATTGCAAGCAAACAGTCACAGTACTTATTTGTGTTCTTATTTTTTGGAACTCAATCATAAAAACATCAATATTTATTTATACGAAAATCAACGACATTAGTATGTATGCATTTTTATATATTATGTTAATATTCCTCTCAGGTTTAATACACAACACGAAAGAGAAATAGGTCACTAGCAAATCTACTAATTGTACCTACTTTGTAAAAATCATTCTTACAATCAAATAATTACAGTCCTAATCTTCCTATTTTTATAGATCTCAACTCTCTTATATATCAACAAACATAAATATATCTTATACTCATATTTATCTAATCACCCGAACTGCTACGAGTACGTATGGCTTCCATGGTGGAAGAGAGTTTCTCTGGAAGATATGTTTATCTTGGCGGAATTTTGGGCTAAAAAAAATACAGAATTATTTAACAAAAATTATTTACATAGGTACCTTCTCAATTACTGAAATACAAACTACCTAAATACATTTTATAACTATTTCAGGTAAAACTAAAATGTAGTCTACCGACGTCCTTAAGAATACTACCTAAATGGGTACAATCGAAGACACTGTTAACTGTACATTTACAAACGAACATAAACCTTGTCGCAATGTATAAAAGTCTATGGGTGGTAAACAGTGTCTTCGTTTGCTAGATCGGGGCTGAATACTGGATTTTAAAAAATAATTCGAGAACCCAGTGATCAGCCCCGAGGGGCCGACCATTGGATATTTTATAAAAAAGTAGTATACAATGGGCAGCCCCCACAATATTTACGTAAATCAGCGATATTTTTATTCAAATTTAATATAATTCAATAAATGAAGTAATAAATAAAGCCAAATTGCATAAAAGACATCACATCACATATATAATATATATATCACACATATAATATATCACATTTCATAATTAAACATGTTTTTTCTTACCTTTTAAGACAACACCACTCGAAGTAAAAAATATGGCGGACATGACAATACTGCGCTTTTCAACCGCCGTCACCAGTATGAACGAGTATATTTCTCCCCCCTGATCCCCTGTCGCATCTATTGTGTGACATATTAATCAATGAGGAATCAAAGTTTCTATTTAAGTACACCTGCTTCGTTTATTCTAATTGTTGTGATATTTATGACTAATAAACGACGCAAAGGGCTGACCACTGGTTCATGGCTGACCACTGGTGTCGTTACCCTAATAGGATTTCTTTTTTACCGAGAATGAGTTCGGGAGTATTAATTTCCCCCGCCAAAGAGGGATGAGCGAATGAGTTGAAAATGAGAAATAAAAAATGAATGATTTCCACAGCGTGCGAGCTCAGTTGAAGTTTACAACTGGTTAGGAACGGTCGTTTTAACTCTTTGCTCATTTTCGCTCACCTCTTTCTCGGTGGAACCATTACTATGTAAAGGACTATGCTCGTTCCCCATACATTGAATGCCCTAGAACGCACAGCGATGAGAAAATGCTAGTTGTGCTCGAAATCATTCATAAACTCTAATTAGGCATTTGTTGAGATACGGATACGGACAACTTGATGAACCTTGGTCTACTACAGAATGTATTAGATTTTGAGGTTATAATTATTATACTTAATCGTAAAAGATGTACACTTTATATATTCTGAATAGATTTGGTGTTTACCTCTATGTAAGCACATAAATAATATGCATTTAATGAACATAAAATGAAATTACTAATAAAAATAATAAATGCTTATATTCATATTGATTTATGAGTGTTGGCAGTTAGCGCCTATGATACCTATACCTACCTGTTGTAATAATAGATTTCTTTTCAAATTAAATGTTCAAAGGCTTTCCATTAACCTACCTGTTTCTGTATTTTATTATCGGTAATTAGGTTATCATTATGATTTTCATAAAAATAAACAGATTATATTGGGTTGGGAGTATTAACTATCTTGACATAATTTCAGAAATTATCTTTTTATAAATATAATATAAATACTAGTGATAAGTATTATTAACTAAGGATTAACTAAGGTACCTAGTTCTCGTCTTATGTTGATAAATACCTATGGTCGCCTATATTGCATTTATTAAGGCTATCTATTCAAAATGGAATAGAATTTAATTGAATTAAAATAAAACACTTGTATTTGAAATAATTTTGTGAACCTCATTGGCGGAAGCTTTGGAATTTAGATGAGACATCTCTTAAGGCTGTAAAGATTACATGACAGCAAATTGTGAACAGTCTGTTCATCCTAACTTGTCCTATCTGGTAAACAATCTTGGTACAATTTTTTGACAAAAATCACCCATGTTCAGGACCTCTTTGCTATTTTGATAGCTGATTTAGTTTTCTACTTCTTGCTTTTGACGTTGTCTGTTCTAATTACCTATTTCTTTCTGTTGGCTTAATTTTCGTTTTATCATTTGCGGAGATCAATTTGGTTTGTTCACTTCAGTTTGGTCCTTCACCAGTAATTTTCCAGCGTACCTATTTTTCATTAGGTAACTTTAGTTATTCATTCATTTCGTAGTATTTGTTTTCATTTTCACTGCATTATTTTATTTTTATTTTTCACTTAATGATCACCCGCAGTAAAAGTAAAATCATGTCGACAAACCCTGCGACTAGTTCTGGTGTGCAAGATAACATTATGCAACCAAGTACTGCACAACATGTAGATAGCGTTGCCCCGAGAGAGACGTCTAAGTCAAAATCATTACGCTCGTCGTCCACAATTAAGGCTCAAAAGGCCGCCGTAGAGGCCCTCGCCCTGCGCCAACATCTTGAACATGAGCAGGAGCTCGCTGAAAGTGTGAGTGGAGAAAAAAGAAAGAGAGGCAACGTGAACTACTTACAGCTGGCCGAACGCGAGAGGCAACATGAAAGTCGACTAGCAGCACTCCGTCAGCAGGTAGAGAAGGGCGAACTGCAGGCCGAACTTGCCGCTCTGCCGTGTTTCTGCCAGGGTAAGCGTAGAAAGAACAGAAAGATTGGTACAAAGTTTAGGACAGCCAGTTTGCGTCGGCGAAAATACAGTTAATAGAGGCATCCCTGCTGTAGGACGCGAGCAAGTAGTGGTTCTGCCTATCGGCCACCAGGCACCTCTGCCGGCCACTGGGTCAACTGCATCCCCTATTAACCGTTTT